TTATTATCATGATACCCGAGTCTTCGGAGAGGGGGCGGCATATAAATTGAATTAATTAAATTAAATTAAATTAATGATTAAAACAATCAGAAGTGAGGGGAAAAAAATAAAACCATTTCCTTACAGGCAGTCCTCGATTTACGACCACGGTTGAGCCCAACATTTCTGTCGCTAAGCGAGGCAGTCGTTAAATGAGTTTTGCCCCCGTTTTACGACCTTTCTTGCCACACTTGTTTCGGCGAATCACTGCAGTTGTTAAGTTAATAATACAGCTGGCTTTGCTTGTCCGAAGGTCGCAAAAGGGGCTCCCTTGACCACGGGACAGCGGCACCCGTCATAAAAGCGAGTCAGTTGCCAAGTGGGTGAGAATTTGGATCATGTGACCACGGGGATGCTGCAACGGTCGTTAAGTGTGAAAAACGGTCATAGGTCGTTTTTTTTCCGAGCCTTCATAACTTCAAACTGTCACTAAACGAGCTGTTATATGTTGAGGACTAGTTGAAGACGATGTCTTTTATCAGATAAAAGTTTGACATCACTTTACTTGTGGGAATAAGCTTGCTCTTAGCATCCCACTTTATGTCCGTCGTTCTAGGGAGCCACTACCGAAAGAGGCTGGGGAGTTAACTGTACACGCCCACAGTATTCGTTTTGTCTTTGAATCAGTAACACACCCTTTGTACCGTGGGAGAACTGTGGTTGCGTTGACAAGTATGACTTCAAGGCTCCGTCGTCAATCATGTAACGCCTTGGATCCTGGCTAATGATGGCTTGCGAGTTTATTTAATAAATGGGACAGGAACATTAAAATCCATTGCACAAATAATTACGAGCCATAATGGAATGTTTCCACCCATTGCTTCTTGTCCTGCCTTCAGGTGCTTTGGAGAATAGCTTGACTGCCTCTTCTTTGGGGCAGCCCCTGAGATATCGGAAGACTGCTATCATGTCTCCCGGAGTCCTTCTTTTCATTAAACTAGACATACCCAATTCCTGCAACCGTTCTTCATGTTTCAGCCTCCAGTCCCCTAATCCTCTTTCTTGCTCTTCTCTGCACTCTTTCTAAGCTCTCTGCATTTTTTTTTGTATTGTGGTGACCAGAATTGGACATCATCAATCAACATGTCAGACTTGAGTCCAATATTTTGGTCACTGCAGAATAACAAAGTTGGGAGGGAATTTTACCTCTTTCTTTCTTTCTTTCTTTCTTTCTTTCTTTCTTTCTTTCTTTCTTTCTTTCTTTCTTTCTTTCTTTCTTTCTTCCTTCCTTCCTTTCTTTCTTTCTTTCTTTCTTTCTCTCTCTCCCCCTTCCTTCATTCCTTTCTCTCGCTCTCTCCTCCTTCCTTCCTTCCTTTCTCCTTCCTTCCTTTCTCTCTCTCCTTCCTTTCTTCCTCCCTCCCTCCCTCCCTTCCTTTCTCTCTCTCTCCTCCCTTCCTTCCTCCTCCCTCCCTCTCTTCCTTTCTCTCTCTCCTTCCTTTCTCCTTCCTTTCTCTCCCTCCTTCCTTCCTTCTTCCTTCCTCCCTCCCTCCCTTTCTCTCTCTCTCTCCTTCTTCCTTCCTTCCTCCTTCCTCCCTCCCTCCCTCCCTCCCTTCCCTTCTCTCCTTTCTTCCTCCCTCCCTCCCTCCCTTTCTCTCTCTCTCGTCCTTCCTTTCTTCCTTTCTTTCTCCTCCCTTGCTCCCTTTCTTCCTCCGTCCCTCACTCCCTTTCTCTCTCTCTCTCTCTCCTCCTTCCTTCCTTCCTCCTCCCTCCCTCCCTTCCTCTCTCTCTCTCTCTCTCCTTCCTTTCTTTTTCCTTTCCTTTCTCTCTCTCTCTCTCTCCTTCTTCCTTTCTTTCTCCTTCCTTCCTTCCTTCCTTTCTTAAGTCAAGCTTGCTAGAAAAAAGGTGAGAACCTTGAAAAGAGAAGCTTGTAAGTTGATAATGCAACTGTAAGATGGAAGCCAGGCTATCAGTTACTCTTGGTTGAGTCCTTCCTACATTAGGAGCAGCTAAAACAAACGAGCGAATCCCTAAATGTTGATTTAGGAACATTCCAAGTAGTCCTCGACTTAGAACAGTTTGTTTAGTGACCGTTCGAAGTTACAACAGCGTTGAAAAAAAAAAATAACACGACCGTTTTTCACACTTACGACCATTGGCGATAGATTAGACAGAGATGCAGAAGGCAGAGATAGAGATAGAAGACAAATTAAGAGCTAAGATTAAAGAGAGGCAGACAGATAGATATAAAAGAAAGAGAGAGAGAAGATAGATTAGAGAGATTTGAATAGAGAGAGGAAAGAGAAAATAGATCAGATAGATTTCGAGGATACATTAGAGATAAGATGATGAACAAAACTCCGCATTGGCGACAGGAATGGTATCCGGCCATTCAAACACTCTGCTAGCTCCATTCAGTTGCCCAGACTCCACCCCGCAAGGAATTATGCGGTCGTTAAAAGAAGATGATGATGATTAGAGATAAATTGACAGAGATAGACAGACAGACAGACAGAAATCTGTGTGTGTCTCTGTGTACACAGTATGTACCTTCACAACATCTTCCTCAAATCATCCTTCCGATATATTTAACTCACCAAACCCGCATCCATAATACACTCTTTAAACTCACAGGATACTAAACCGTGTTTGATTTGCTGCTAGGCCAGGAAGGGGGTGTGTAAAGAGGGATTTGGGAGCAATTCGGAGCCTGTTGATCTTTTATGCACATTTTATATTTTCTCGGGACAGGAAACGATAGATTAGAACAAAACCCTCTTTATTGAAACTGTGGTGTTGGGTTTAATTTTTTTTTTTTCCAGTTCTAAGAAATATTGTCCAAAACAGTAAATAAAGATTATGTTTATGGAATTCTGCCGTGGGAGTATTGAAGTTTAAGAGGCTTTGGAGGGGAACCATCCAATTTTTACTGCGATGGGTTTTACTTCTGCGTCTGTAAAC